TCTTTTTCTTCTCCTTTCCTTACGCTGTGTCTCTTTTACTTAACGTACTTGACTGCAATTTCTATCTCAATTCTTCAGTTTCTCTTCTTGCTTTTTCTTTCTAGCGCGTCTGTCTTCCTTCTTGTTTTTTAATGTCACGTCTGCGTCATTCAACAGGCAAGAATGAAGGAATTAGCGTCTCAAAGTGCCACGTGCTCATTTGCTGAAGACATAATGACAGACACCGGAAGCCGATTAACGTTAATAGACTTGCGTGCGCATCGCTCATTTCCAGCGTTTGTCAGTACGTAGATGTACGCATGCTTCAGTGCCTACGAACTTGTTTCTGTTCTGCAATATATATATATATATATATATATATATATATATATATATATATATATGTATGTATATATATATATATATATATATATATATATATATATATATATATATATATATATATATATATATATATATTAGTAAGAATGAAAAAAAAACTAGGTGCATATTAAGCACTTCTGGTAATATAATAAATGTTACTCTCTAAACCCACTGACACATAATTTAATGATGATTTTAGACCGCCATATATATATATATATATATATATATATATATATATATATATATATACAGAAATATTGTTTTAAGATGTGCTATATTTATGGGATAAGTGCTCAATATCAGAGATAGAGCGTATGTAAATATAAAAGTGAACATTGAAGTCAGCACTCAGGGGCGAAAGGCTGTTTCAGGCGCAATCGTCAGGTCGACTGTGACAGTTGACTTCAATGTTCACTTATATATATATGTGTGTGTGTGTGTGAAAAGTGTATATAAATATAAATAGATATATATATGTATAATTATTTATATATTATATGCGCGGTACTTATTAGACACAACACCACCCGTATACATACATATGTCATATCCGAAACTGTCCACATATGTTTATATATGTATGAGTCCCGACGGACGACCAAGTATGTATATGTGTCTGCATACATCGATGTTTGCTTTAGTACGATGACATAAGCGACGAAGTTTCCCCCAACACTTCCACAATAACACCAATACACGCAATCTATATAAACCAAAATTTTTAAAAAAATTAATCAGTTTGACGATCGCTAAACCGTGAAACCCAGGGTCACAAACTCACATCTATCCAACCAAATATATATATATATATATATATATATATATATATATATATATATATATATTCAAACATATATTGTTAAATATAACACGATGAATGTCTATTATGTTTGATCGTGAGCCGTTCTAAACTTCGTAAAGTTGCTTTTAATTTCGGGAGGAAATAAAGACAAAAATTTTCCAAAATTCGGATATATTTTAGTATGCTGTTCATTGAGCTAAGCTTTTGTCTCACCTGAGCCATCATCAGATTGGTTATATGGACATTTAAACAAGATATTTACTATCAACGATATCTAACTATATATATATATATATATATATATATATATATATATATATATATATATATATATATATATATATATATATAAAATATCCAAATAATGGACAATTTTGTCCTTATTTTCTCCTGAAATTAAAGCAACTATACGAAGTTTAGAACGTCTCATGATCAAACATAATAGGCATTCGTTGTCTGTCATATTTATCAATATATGTTTGAATAATGATCTGCTGCCCCCAATGCATTATATATATATATATATATATATATATATATATATATATATATATATATATATATATATATACACAGAGAGAGAGAGAGAGATTTTTATGTTTATACATTCTTTTTATATTTAAGTAAATGCTCTGTTTTATAATAAAAATAACATTTACCGGCTTGAATGTCCGAGAAAATTTCACAGAAAATATTCGTCCTCCGACAGACATCGAACCTCTATCCTAGACGGAACCGTCATATAGCCTGACGTGCCTTAACCGATCGAGCCACGGAGGATCATTCGATTAGTAAGGTCGATTTTACTGTTTTTAAACTCCAATCTTCTATGAATCTCTCACGTACATTCATTTGTTTACATTTGGATACGCTTTGAAGAGATATGATTAAAAAACAACAAAGCCCTTGTTGATATTTTTAATTTGCTTTTTCGATATTTCTAACTATTTCTGTGATGTCCAGTGCCTATTTGTTAATATATTTTCACATATCTAAGCACAATACTAACCGTTTTCAAATATATTTTGCAGTTGATTTTCTTTGTTTTCCATTTTCAAATAATTTTGGTGTTAGTTTTGTGTAGTCTTCTTAATATTGCCTTTTCTGACGTCTGTTTAAACAAATGACAATGAAATGTCTGAATGATTTGTCCCTTAACTTACGAATCACATTTTCAATTTATCCGTTAAAAGCCGTCCCGGTTCACTAAGGCTAAAAAGGAAACGTCTGATCGAGTTTTAACCTACGAAATGCATTTTATATATATATATATATATATATATATATATATATATATATATATATATATATATATATATGTATGTATACTGACTTTTTTAAAATTCAATTACTTTTTTAAATTTAAAATACTCAGTATCCTTCTGTAGAGCCACATTTCAGTTGCCTCAAGTCTTCACAAAATTTACAATAACATACATCTCCAAAAAATGGTTCGATGTGTTTGAAACATTGTGGGATTACCTGTAATGAAAATGTCAGTTTACCTGTAATGAAACAATGCAGTTATTAATAAGAATTGACATTAATGTGTGCAATATTTCACCGCTCTAGCGTCAATCGTTCATAGGTAACCTATGAACCGTTCAGCCCACTCTCAATATACGTGGGTAAATCTGTCATACGTAAACCCATATTTCTGTTGCTTCAAATCACGTCATCAACTGTAAGGAGTTTGTCCAGCATTCACTGTCCTTTATGGGGGACTGGTATGACTTAATACTTAATAGTTCAGTACTCTTGAAAATGATGGAATATCTCTTTGGCTTCTTACTGCTGTAATGTTTTTGCATGAGTCTTTAAATCTATTTTTTCTAATTTATTTGTTGCTATTTGCGCTTTTACGCGGTCCAAGCTACCTAAATATCCGCCATTATGTTAACACTTCCCCTTCCAAGGAAGTGCAAGAGAGGTAACTCTCGTACAACCAAAGATTCACAAACTCCCGTAGCGTATTATATCTTAAGTTTTACTGTCTCAAGGCTGTGACTAATAAAAACTTGTAATAACTTGGGATTGAATGAATCTGATTTGTTATTATAATAAGCTGGGAAAAAGCACACGAAAGATGGCGATAATCATAATGGTCGTTGCTTTAGTCTCGCGGGAATTTGGACGAATTTATAAGGCATACGTAAATAAATAAATGTTTAATGGTCACTGGGGAATTCAACCTTTAACAGCCTTATAGAAATCAATAAATAAGGACAAAGTCATAGAAGGCAAAAGTCACGGGATTGATTTACTTGTCTCTTATTGTTTTTGTTTTTTTTTGTGTTATTGTTCCCAACCTCTCTTTTTATGTGGCTTTCCCACACCTAATCTTTCTCTCTCTTTGTCACTTTGTCATCTTTGACACTTTCTCTCTCTCCCCTCTCTCTCTCGCTCTCTCTTTGTCACTTTACCATCATTGATACTTTCTCTCTCTCTCTCTTTGTCACTTTACCATCATTGATACTTTCTCTCTCTCTCTCTCTCTCTCTTTGTCACTTTGTTTTCATTGCCACTTTCTCTCTCTTTGTTACTCTCTCATCAATATCACTTTCTCTCTCTTTCTTTCTCTCTCTCTCTCTCGTTTTGTCATCACTCACTTTATCTCTCTATCATTTATGCATCTCTGTTCACCCTTTTTCTATCCTTGCTTTGTTTTTTTCTCTCTCTCTCTCACTCTGTCTCGAGATTCGGATCTTACTCATTTTCAAGTTTTTCCTAAATCCCTTTTAACTACCTTTGTCCCATAAAAGTTCTTACATGTTTCATATCTTAAATGGACCAATTATTATAGGACATAGGTATTAACTCAATAAGGACATTATCTCTGTCCCATAATTGTTGTCACATTTGCATATCAAATTCAAGCACTGAATGGACCATTTATTATGAGACAGAAGTAGTAACTGAAAAAGAACGTACTTCTGTTCTATAATAGTTCTCTCATTTGTATATACATTTCTTACACTAAATTTTGCAACTAAACTTTTGCACACACACACACACACACATATATATATATATATATATATATATATATATATATAATCCTTTAATCTTTATTTTTTAGTTGATAACCATATTTGAGTAGACGTTTCGTTTACTTTGTAAACAGTATATTTATTTATTTTTCTCTTCAATATTCGAATATTCTAGAAATCTCATTAAAGTAAAAAAGATGCGCCTTCCGTCAGGATTCGAGCCTGTGTCTCCCTTTGTTGGAGAAACTGTAATTAGATCCGATTTACTTTAGACTGACAAAGGGCGTCGCCGATCAAGCAAGGTGGAATAGTGTCTTATAAGCGCAACTCCTTCCCAGATTATAGAAAGTTCATATCTGATCAGTTTCGCAATTTTGAAGTCTTCTTTGGGAACAGTGGGATGTCAGTTTACCTGGGAAGAAAACAATGCAGGTATTAAGAAGAAGAGTTTAAATTAATGCATGCAAGATTTTGCAACTATACTTTTGCACACACACGCACACACACACACACACACACACACACACACACACACATACATATATATATATATATATATATATATATATATATATATATATATGGGATGACGATATTTTTTATATATAAAGCAAAAATAATTTTAGAGGAAAGAAGTATGACAATGTGGAAAAGTTTTTTGTGTGACGCCTTTCGTCCTTTAGGACTTCATCGGACTAAGTTTTTGTTTCGTTGATGTGACTACGCATGCGCACGAACGAGATTAAAATATTTTGCCGCACACACATACCTACACACACACACACACACATATATATATATTTTATTATAAGAGATTGGCAAATATTAAGAAATAAATTGAA